TCAGCGGCCGGGGGGGGCGCTGCGGGGGTCGCCGGGGGTCGCCCCGGGCCCCACCACCACGATGGGCACCGGGGCGGCGCCGCCGCGCTCGTGCTCCTGCACCGGGCTCAGCGCCTTGGGGGGGCCCCGCGCCCCCCGCTCCGCCTCCTCCGCTGCCGGCGCCTCCGCCCCGGCGGGACCCCCGAGCAGCTCCTGGCGGCCCGGGCGGCGGGCGGGCGGCGGCGGCGGCTCGGCCGGGCCCTCGCCGTCCCACTCGGCCAGGCTCTGCAGCGGCGGCTCGGCGGGGAAGTCCTTGCGGGGCGGCTCCAGCCCCAGCTTGCGCGGCGGCACCGGCGCCGCCTTCTCCGGGAGCCCGCGGCGGGCGAGGCGCGGCGACTCGGCGGCCTTGGCGTGCAGCTTGGCGGGGAAGGCGGGCGGCGACGCGGCGGGCGGCGAGGGCGTGTGGGCGAGCGGCGAGAGCGGGATGCTGCCGGCCGAGCGGCACCGCGCCGCCCGGTACTGCCGCTGCAGCTTCGGCGACAGCCCCTGCAGCGAGCTCGGCCGCAGGTGCGGGCCCGCCGGTGACGGCGGAGCGCTGGAGCCCGGGGAGCTGCTGGGCGGGGAGGCTCCTGCGAGGAACCGGGTCAGCGAGCGGGGAACGGGACCGGGCACCGAGCATCGGGACCGGGCATCGGTAACCGGGACCGGGCACTGAGCACCCGGACAGGGCACCGAGCACCGGGATCGGGCACCGAGCATCGGGCACCGGGACCGGGCATCGGTAACCGGGACCGGGCACCGAGCACCGGGACCGAGCACCGGGACCGGGCACCGAGCATCGGGACCAGGCACCGAGCATCGGGCACCGAGCATCGGGCACCGGGACCGGGCATCGGTAACCAGGACCGGGCACCGAGCACCCGGACAGGGCACCGAGCACCGGGACCGGGCACCGAGCACCGCGCCCCATTCCCGTGACCACGCCCCGTTGCCAACCCCCCGCCCCTTTCCCGGTACCGCCCGCCCACCGTGGCCCCGCCCCGCTCCAGTGGCCCCGCCCCTTACCGGGGTCGCGCGCCCGCGCGTGCGTGGGGGAGGCGGGCAGCGAGTCGGAGGAGGAGAGCGAGCGGCTCAGTGACGTCAGCGAGCGGCTCGTGTGCAGCAGCGAGGCCTGGCGCGCCAGGTGCCGGAACAGCGCGCTGCGCCGCCTAGCGGGCGGGAGGACCGTCACATCCCGCGCCGCCCCCCACCGGTGCCCCCGGGCGCCTCCCGGTGCCCCGGGCCCACCTCTCGTGGCCGCTGCCGGTGCCCCCCCGGCGGTTCCTCCGGGCCATCTTGGCGCGGGCGCTGCGGCGCCGCGCGGGGCCCAGGCGGATCGAGGTGTTCTCCAGCGGCGTCGTTGTCACCAGCACCTTGGTCCCGCTCTGCGCGACAGCGGGTCACGGCCGCGACCCCCGACACCCGCCCCCCGCACCGGGGCTCACCCCCTGCTCGTGGCCGAGCTGCCGTGACCCTGCCGTGACCCACGACCCCCCCCGGTGTCCCCCGGTGTCCCCACCTTGAGGATGAGCTCCACCACCTCGGTGTGGACCAGCCCGTGCACCGGCTCGCCGTTCACGTGCGTGATCAGGTCCCCGGCGCACAGCCCGGCCTCCTGCGCGGGGCCGCCCTCCTCCACGTGCTGCCCCCCAAAACCGGGGTCACCCACG